CCTCCTCTGTCTCCCTAGTCTGAACGCATCAAGCCGAGACAGAAAGAAGCCAAAACTGGTATGAGGATGTCTGTACTGTCATTTCCAATTTGTCTAACGATAAAAGCTGTAGAGAGCCTTAATTTGTTATTCTGTAAGGTTTGTACTAAAAATCCTCGACTCTGATACGATTTAACCTCATTCTGACACAGATCTGTAAACTAAATTAATATTTTATACTAAAAAGTAGAAGCATTATGATATTTTAGGAGGAGGGGGGAAATACGCCAGCGTCTCGTAATTCTGGGTGTAGAGTGCGAGCCATCACCAAGGCAATTCGCATCAGCTCAAATCGGGTCCTTTTAGGGTTCCTTCAACAGAGCAGAGAAAAAGCCTGACGTGATAATTAGAGTACAAGCTTCTGTAGAGCTGTCTGATATCCACACCTGGAGGCAGTACTTTAGAAGGCAAGCCTAAAAATGCTCCTTATGCAGCGTAACCAACACAGGAGTGTCAGACTTGCCTGAATTAACGTTCCCTCTTGCGAGGAGGAGGAGGAGGAGGGAGGCAGAGCAGAGGGTCTGCGGTGCTCTCAGCGCTGGCGCAGTCGCCACGGTAAGTCCTGCAGCATCAAGGACGGGGAAAAGCCTGGAGGAGCTGTAGGAGGCAGGAGAAGCTGAGTCGGTGCACGACTTGAAATACATAGCAGAGGTTATCGAAGAGCAGATTTTGGCTTAGAAAATGGGAAAGAGGATTTCAAGAAGAAGAAAAGCTCTCTCTATAATACACCATCAGAAGTGTTTATTCTGCGGCAGTGCGAAGAACCAATAATAAGGTGTGTGCACATCAATTTTTCTTTAAAAACAATTCCAGCAAATACAGAGTTTGACCTCCCTCACCACCCTCCCCCCCAACAAAAATACTTTGAGTGATCAAAACTTATTTGGATTCCTTGTTCTTCAACACCAAGTATTTGTTAGACTGGATTTGCTGTCGGCATATAGGAGAGGAAAGAAAAGTAAAACAAAACAAAATAGCTTAGGCAAGGCAGTGAAGTTTTTCCTCAGCTGCCTCAAGAGGATGTGTTTTTGTTTTAAATACTACAGAAATTATAATAAGTCTTATAAAAGTTATCTAGTCACTGGAGCACCGAACACTTCAGAATATCTGTCACTTGCAAATCCTTAATTAAGTTTGGCAGCTTTTCTGGATAGGATAGCGATGGAGGAATAGAATCCGTAGGCAGGTCCACACCTTTGCAGTCATGCTAAAAGGATGAACTGGAACGAGAGGAAAAAAAAAAGAGAGAGAGAAAATAGACAATGTAAGAAATATTGTCTGGCAGGGAAATTCCTGTATCAAGAACATAAGCTTTACTGAAAAATAGTCCCCAAAGCAACAATTCCTGGCAGATTTATGCAGGCGTGTATGAATTAATCTAGTGATAGCCAGACTAACTATTTAAAGCTAAGCTTTATGATCTGCTGATGTATATACCTGTGTTGTACCTGTTTTACGCAGCTGCCACATGCTCATACACCTATTAGAAACATCAATTTTAACCTCATTATAAACATAATTTGCTACTGATGGAGGCTAAATGACTGGTTTGGACTGGATGTCTAAGGTGGCCCAACTTAGGGGAAATGAGCACCCTGCACCCAATTTATTCTTGGCCTGTCGTTCTGGAGATGAATAATGTTCCCTCATCACGGGCTTTTCAGATGCACTACGCTGTCTCAAAATTTAACACGAACGGAAAGGAAAAGGAGGAGGGAGAAAAAAGAGGAGAAAATATTCAGCTTCTGCTTTTGTACTCAGGGCACATCCCTGCAGCTCTATTATCACATCAGAGAGTCTGGACCCATCAGCGCTTTCATTACGCAACATTTTCCTCCCCCAAGAGTTTATAATTTTGCCATCTTAATTCATTTCGGGGACATCCGGCAGTCTGATTCCCTATCACAGAGGAAATTTTGTTCTGTTAGAAAACATCTAGGAGCAGTTAATCCGGCAACTTCAGTTTAGACCTTGAGAGGTCAATGCATAATTTAGAAGATTTTTGGATTCCGTTCTGATTGCTTCTTGCTCAAAGACGGCCTTGATTACACAAGCCTGGTTTTCTGAGGGCCAAAGTCCTGCTTTTAATCATCAAATATGCTTCCGTAGACCCTGCTGCCTGTGCCTGGCCTCTAGGGCTTTCTATTTCTTGGAGCTGGTGAAGATAGAGCAGAGGGGAGGTTTAGTCTGGATATCAGGGAGGCTGCCCAGGGCAGTGGTGGAGTCACCATCCCTGGAGATATTTAAACAACATGTTGACCAGATGCTTAGGGACATGGTTTAGTGGGGACCTGGCAGTGCTAATGGTTGGACTCGATGATCTTAAAGGTCTCTTCCAACCAAAGAGATTCTGGGAGAGGGACTGGTGCAGTACGGTGAGACCAGATTGGGGTGAGACCAGATTGTGCAACCCTATGGAGTGCTGGAGGTGGGGGACGGTTGCAGCTCTAACCACGGCAGAGCACCGGCCGAGCAAGGTGGTGGTGGGGAAATCGCCGCTCGGTAATAGAAATCAAAGTAGTGATGGATTTCCAGGGCTACGTTATGCTTGAAGAACACAGGCTGTGCCTTATGAACCTTGCTCTTGGGGGCCAACTGGGATCTGCTGGATTGAGTAGGAAGGCTCCCACTGGTCTCCGTGGGCAGTAGGTCAGGTCCTCGGTGCAGCAAGGTGCCTTCAAAGCTCTGCGGCCATCTTTATTTCCAGGGAAATGGGAGCGAGCTGCAGCTGCAGCCCTCCAGTACGTAAAACTCTGGCTGATTTACAGCCTGCACCACACGGAGGTATTGTGGAGATGAGTTCTGTAGCTTATGAATAGGAAAGAAGGGCCAGCATGATCTCTCCCGGCTACGAGGAAATGTTTCCTTTTCATTGCATTTGTTTTGCTATTCTTTAAGAAGCCTAACAATTACGTGGCCAGTGATATGAAAGGCATAAAAGAAATCGAGATCATTTACAGCTAGTTCACAAAGGCTCCTCTGTAATGCGGTGCCCTAGAGAAATTCTCTGGTGATGGGTCCTATTACAAGTGGAAGGAATGAAACTTTGAAATACTGTTATTTCATCTTTATATGACACATAATGAAGTCAATTCAAATGTCAGTTTTCAGTGGAGTACAAGATTTCTTGGAAATGCGATGCTGGCTCAAACTTAAAAATAACAATGAGGTACAAAAATATCCAGTGTGTTTTAAGGACATGATACTATTATAGAGCTGAGAGTTGGAAATACTCAATTCCTTTTTTAAAAAAATGAAAAGCTAAGAACAAGAAATAATTTTCCATATTTTACATTATTTGTCTCATTTCCTTGAAAAACTCCTGGAACCAATTTCATGTTTATTTAGCTTTTAATCAGGAAGTTATGAAGTTGTCTTTTAATTAATGATGAGCTAGTTCTGATGCATTTTAACAGCCAAAATTTTATCGTATGATTTAGATGTTTTTCTCTGACCAAGCCTTACTTAGCTGAAAGTCTCATCAGACCAGTCATCTTTGGCGTTATCTTTTGAGTAGGAATTTTCAAGAAAGTAAGTAACTGACTTCCTCCCCTTACCCCTACCCCACAAATAAAATTAAATAATTAAAATGCCCCTATATAAGGTTTCTTTTACCTGGTGTTCAGTTTGCCCTAACTCATTTTGAAGAGTCCTCCTGGTCAAAATATAAGAATTAGAGGAAAACAAAGCAAAACGAAAATCTTCCCTCAGACCCTCCTTAGCTCCCTCTCATCTTCAGCAATTATAACCGTGTGATAAACTACCAGCTCCTTTTCAGTTCACCTAATTTCAGACTTAGAGCACTGAGATCTTCCTCGGAACGAGTTATCTATTGTCCTTCTACGATCAATAGAGAGGACGAGGCAAGATTAATCTCGCTCATTTAGGAAGTCTGCTTTGTGATGAGATGAATGGCCTCCTAGAAGTGCTATTTCCCTTCATCGCCTCTAAAATAAAGTAGATGTCTCACTTAGGTGAGATGCATCTCATCTCAATATTTAAAAGCAAACCTAAGACTGGGCAATGCTTGTCTTTTGGGCTTTCCTGTACGTTCCCGTGCATCCTGGTGGGAGCAGGCTGTGCAGCGCTGGTGGGGCTGGGCATTTCGTGATCGTGCAGCAGCTGGTCTATCGGCAGGGGTGGACCTGTCCTTGTCCCCCGCCCGCCCCTGCCATAGGTCCTCCTGCAGAAGGAAGGAGGGTTGAGGTGGAGAACAGGTTGAGGGACCTGGGCCAGGGCAGTGCTGGGACTGAGAAAAAGGGCTGGAATGGTGTGGAGGGGAGAAGCAGCTCGGCACCTTCAGCTGGGTAGTGGTGGAAGCACTGGACCTGTCAATCCAAAATAAGCTGGTGCCATGATCTCAGTGGACAGTCTCACGACTTAGGAGTCTGGAAATGCTTAGATAAGTATCTGTATGTATCAACTGGTTTGAAGCCTAAAGTAATTTGTTTTAGTGCTCTTGAAAAGCACAGTCCATGATGCACGCTGATTTGTGCTCCCTGGGGCTAGCTCTCGGTGGTCTAAATTCATGGTGCAACTTCAAATCCAGTTCTGTCTCCTGAGCTAGGAGGTAAAGATGAAACTCATGGGGAGGGGAAAGCACAAAGCAAGAACTCGCAGGGCTGCCAGGGGAAAAACCTCAGCAGGTGACCCACCTCACAGTCCAGCGAGAGATGTTCCCATCCTTTGCTCGTGTCCTGACAGACTGCAATCGGTCGTGTACACGGAAGTCAATCCATCCTCCGCACAGTTTTTGGTACTTCCTGGTGAACAGAGGAACTAGGCTGTGCACGAATCCCGGTCTGGATCAAGAGTAATGCTGCGTAGCTCTGTATTATTTCCTGGAAGCTGACAAAAGGGGTCGATGCTAATAACTGTCAGCGCGTGCATATAAACAGTTGTCGGGTTTGGTGTTGGGTTTTTTTCTTTTGTGTTTTTCAGATTTTTATTTTTTTTTTTATAGAAAGCGTTGTTCATGAGGTCCTCTACTGACGATCACAAGTGAGTCGGAGAAGCAAGGGGTTTGACGGTGAAGGAAATGGTCCTTATTTGGGTCCCCCGCCTGTGGGTGCTACCTGACCTTCTGCAGCTCCTGTCTCAGCCAGGAAGGCAGGGGCTGCCCCAGCCGGTGCAGCAGCTTGGACAACTCCACGTTGTGCTCTCTGTAGTAGCTCGATAGAAACGCTCGAGACTGAGAAGGGTGAGAAAAAAACCAACAGTCAAAGAAGGAAAGCCACCTAATGGCAGATTTTGGCAGGTGCTGCCACCAGGGAGCTATGCACTGCTCCAGAGAGAGAGGAATTAATCTCCTGTCAGCCAAAGCTCATTAAAAATTTCTGATTTTTTAAATATATTAAGCCTACAAAAAAAAAACTAAAACGAAAAAAAAAAACCTAAACGAAAAAAAATCTAGAAAACAAACCTGTATTTATTTTAGGAGTAAAACAAGGTCAATATTAAAAAATGTTCACTTAAATCTCAGGAAATCACTTACCTCTTGGTCCATTGGTGGGTATTTTCGACCTTTGCTTTTTCCCAGGCACTTTGTTTTCCCTCCTTCTAATAGCTGGCACCAAAATCCTTTCTGAGGGTCAAACCTACAGAGGATTATATTTTTTGAAAGACCTCACTACAGGAGAATCTTCCAGCTACTAAGACATCAGTGTTAGCCTATAATTATTGCTGCAGACACAATATGTTTTTTCCACAAATTCACTTTGTGAGGGGTGCAAGGCCAGAAGTTTTTCACACTGTGCTTTACCTACACTAGCAATTTTTTTTTTTGTCTACTTGTCCAGCATATAAGGGACAAGTTTTAAGCATGGATCTATGGGCTGTCACTCAAAGTCTTGAGCTTCAAGGACCTTACACACTCCGACTGTGCCTCATATTTTATTGTCTGGTTGTGGTCTGAGATTTCATCCGTGTCAAACTGTTCTGTATATCCCTGTAGAATGCTAATGTTTTGATCAACCGACACTCCAAGAAAAATTACCAGTCGTCTCTTTTCCTGCAATTAGATGCACTATATTCTCAAGGACTTGATCAGCTGTGCTCAAGGAAAGCTTTCCATACCGCAAGTTGGAGCTGATGCTACTGCAGGTGAGAAGAGTTCAAAAGGGCGAGCGGATCTATTTGCTGCCTTGAACAGGCAGAGACTTAATCCTTAAGTCACATTTATACAGAAAAGGGTGTGATTGTTGCATGACTGTGAAATGTTTAATGTTGATTTTTGAGTGAAAGAAATAGCGTTCAGGTCTAGTGAAAGAACAGCTGGTTGGCTGCTGATAATTCAACTGCACCCGAGCAGTTGGTTGTTCCATATCATTAGATCTAAATATAATTTTCATTCCAAAGATGGCATTATAGCATAAACACTGCCTTAGCAGTCTTATCTGAAATATGCAATTTGATTTCGATGTCTGAAATTCACAGATAGGAATTTGAGATTAAGGCTTTAAAACACGTACTCACTAAGGAATGAACAACACGCAGCGTTAAGTTTTGAATTTATTGCTATGGGACTCGCAGCATGCATAAAACATCGATAAGATTCGCATTTCTGCTATTCAGCAGGTGTTTGAAAAGGATGAAGGATAATTGGCTTAAACATGGAGTTAATTAGTTACAGACTACCTTTTTGCCCCGGGTCTATCCCTACGACACGGATGCGCCTGCAGTTTGCTGCTCTGTGTAAGTGAACTAATTTCTGGAGAAGGGTGAACCTTTCTCATGTTGGGTTTTTTTTTCACAGCCAGCGTATGGCTGCAGGCCTGACCCTTGTTCCCTAAATTGTCTCAGTAGCTGTATCAATTAAAAATAAATAAATCATTGATTAAATGGCTGTATCGATGATAGATTCATTTCTGCTTTGGCCTTTTCCATCTGCTCATTGCATGGCGAAGTACTTGAGCTAGCTTGCACTAATTTCCCAAGAGAAGCAGCAATATAGCGTGCTGGGTAAAAGGAAAACTGCAAAACTATGCCCCAAACAGTATTTCTGTCTCAGAAGGAGCATATTGAACATTATTAAGCCAATGTGCAAATTTGAGTAGGGGAAAAGAGGGTAAGACAGCACAGGCTGCTTTCAACCCATTGCATTCAGGTGTTACGAAACTCTCAGGACTTGTGAAAATGTAATTGGGCAACATGGAAGTATTTATTTAAAAACAGTGATCGCCTTAAGGCGAAAGCTGTAAGTGAGATTTTTTTAAGCAGTCAGCAGAAACTTTTCCTCCAAACCCAGGGATCTTGTCTTCCCTTGCAGAGTAAGGCCATGGGAGGCCCAGGGTTGACCCCGGACACCTGTACGCCCACCCCACCTCTCAGGAAGCTGAGGTGAGGAGGGTGCCTGCAGGGGCAGGGCTAAGCAACCAGGAGTTTTATTCTGTGGCAAGACGTAGTGGCACTCCGAGAGAAAAGGAATCCTGTCTTTTGCTTTTGAGGGCAGCCTCCCCTGCGAGGCTGCACGTGGAGCTGCCTCTGTGGGCTTAGATCTCGTCTGAATGTAACTCCTCTTTAGCGGTGTCTGTAAGAAGCAAGGACCTAGTTGTCCATCTCAGCTGTGGCTCTCACTAACCTGGCACAATGTGCTCTTCTGTCCAGATGCCCAAGCCCTGCTTCTGCCTCCACTCCTCTCTCGTTCTACGGCTGAGTAGTTAATTTTACTCTCCTGCAAGACTCTCGCATCATTACTCAGGGTGATGAACTTGTTGCTCACTTGTGTTTTCAGGCCTGAGTCCTTAGGATTCTTTGTGACGACTTTAAAAATGTGTAGTATACAGTTATTAGGCAGTAACGACTAGGAACGATCCTATGCAATCTTTTTTTTACTTTGTCAGTGCTACCATAAAGCAACTACATCGTTCCATGCATTTTTTCTCTTCTATTCTAAATCCCTACAGAAGTGTGTGTTTCCACAGCACATTTGCATTCTTGATGTGTCCAATCAGCGATTGCATAATTTTATAGATCTGTTTACAACCCGTTTTTCCTGTCCAAACATCTCTGAGAGGCCAAATTTTTTCCTGCTGTGTGACTCCACTGACTTCAATTTAGTTACAGAAAGGAAGATATATGCACGTGGGCGTGTATTTTTAAAAGCCTAGCAGAAGGCACTGCAGATGTGCAGCAGCCGTTGTTCAAACATCAATGTATTCAAACTCCTCCTCTATTTCATCCGATTTGGAAACCAATGGCTTAAAAAATTACATTCTGAAATCCCAAATTTTTTTCCTCTTGAAAAAGATTTTGGCAGAGCAACATTCTTAAGACCCGAAGAACAACCAGAGCTAAACTCTCGCTTTGTACCTATTATATAAGCATCCATCACCCCCCGCCCCAGCAGAGGAGCCATTAAACAACAATCTTAAGCAGAGCGGAGGCCGTGTGGGGTGTGCAGAAAGTCTGTGGTCTCGTTTTCCTACAGTTTTCCTGGTACCAGCCTGTGAGAAAGGTGAGATATAGAATTTTCTACTTCCCAGCCCACGTGCAGGCTCCTTGCACACCAACTTGAAAAAACTTCCACCCCAGTGCTGGGCTTCTGAGCCCACAGATATCCCAGGTCCCTCCCAGCCCAGAGCTTCTGGCTGTGATGAGATGATGCTCCTCACATGGAGAGGCTCAGTGCAAAAGCTGCTTAGAATTTTCTGCCTGACTGGGAGGGGAGAGAGAAATTTAGCCCACTTCTGCCCCTGCTGAGATTCTGTCTTCCTGCAGGGAATTGAGAAACGTTAAACTGAGTCCCACACGGGCCATTAATCCCCTTTCATGGGGAAAGCCTCACCCTCCGGGCAGCGAGGATGAGAAATGTGAGCTGGGCTCATCACAGCTGCCTCTGCCAGGTCTGAACCAAAGGTAGTGGGAAGTCAAGCCTTCCCTGAGTTCAGCAGACCTTGATTAGAGGCTTATTATTTTACAAACTTAGGTGCACAGCTTGCACCAGCCTAACTTACATTTTAAACTGTGCAGCAACTAGGTACCTTGAGAAAACAAGTCCTGGGCATCTCTGATCAAACATGCAAACGTAGGAGACGTTTCCTTCATGAATCTGGGCCTTTGTTCTGTGGCTGATGCAAAACCCTGAGCAGTAAGTTGTTGTCTATGTGGTGAGAAGTAGGGTCTGCATGTGGAAACGTGTGCAATTGTTGTAATGTGAGTGGGTTTTGTTTGTTTGTAATTAATGATCCCATGCTCTTGGTAGGAGGGGATGTACACCGTGACCCCATAGGGCAGACAATAAAGGAACAGACTCACGTGAGAGCTTCAGAGTAATTATAGTGAGGAGAGACTCCGAGAAACTTCTGCACTTCATCCATCACAGTAGCTGGGTCGCTTCTTAGCTGCTGTCCGTCAATAATAAGCAACTGCAGGGACAAACATGCGAGCTATTTAGAACCAGGGCCGAGGTTAACAAAAGAATTACACTATTTCCCTCCTGTGACACCGTGGATTTAAATTAGCACGTGACTTTGTGTGGTGCTAGTAACAGCCACATGGATGAAGTTCTTTTTAGATTTACTTTTTAATTTATGCTATTTAATTTCTGTAGGTGGGCCCCTTGTAACTCTGCGTGTGCAAATTGTTCAAATGGGCAAGAGTTAAATCTCGAGAGCCAAAACTAAGCCTCAGAGAATTCTGAGAAAAAGAGAAGGAAGGAATGAGAAAATATTGTTGAGGTTTATGGTGTGCCCATAGAAAATGTGGTGCCGAAGAACAATAGTAACAAAAAGCTCATATATAACTTAAAATTAAATGTTCAGAAACTATAGAATTGCATGTTCAAAAGTGGTATTTTGACAATTTATTTGAAACTTACCACCAGTCTATCAGCCACATAGGCTTGCAAAATTTTTAGCAAAGAGGTTTTTCTTGTTTTGTTTTTAATTAAAGATTGATGTGATGTAAAGGCACATTGACCTCCGCAAGCAAATGTTAAGACAATGTATCGAAAGTCTACTGGAGTACCGAGCAGAATTACTAATAACTATTCTGGGCAGACGCGTTTTATATTTATTGTGAAGGCTTATTATGAATTATTAAGTTTTTGAGTGCACAGGCCGAGTGAATGCACATTACCGACTGCCCATTAGTAAGCACCGTGAGTGCACTCTCTGTGTGCACCTTACTAAGAACGAGTGCATTTTGTTGTGTATCTTGTAAAATTAATCACTCTAACTATGCAACATGAGCAGTTACCGGTTTTACAAGGAATATGTCAATGTGCCCCTGAATGTTTAATAAGAGGGCTGCACTCCCTTTTTGCTGCGGCAGGGGCAGGAGAGACTGTCTAAAAAGAAAAGTGGAGACTGTAAAAAGACAGAGCTGCGGTTTCTTTTTTGTTTTTTTCCAGGACCCCGACTAAAAGGCAATACACAGTTCTACCTCCTTTCAGCAAAATTTTGTCCCATGTTGAGCAATATCTGGATCAACTTGTTCATTATCCTTGCTCATTAAATATCCTTTTACAACTTTTTCTTACAGTAAGTAGACATATGAACTGAGCTAAGGACTATGTCGACAGCTAAAGAGTATGTTATATTCTGTATATTCTGTTATATTCTGTAGTATGAAAATTTTACTTTAGGTTTATAAAAAGACAATTCAATAATACGTATTAAGGGAAGTGGGGCAAAATATGGAATTTCTGCTCTAACACTGAGAATGGTTAATTCCATATCAAGATAAAACCAACGTGAAATTTTCTATGAAAGGGAATGAGTGGGAAGCAGAACAAACTTTCTTTTTAGGAAAAGCCCGGGCATTTTCTGAATTAATTTGTCAGACCTTCCCACATTGTCTCGTTCTGCAGCAGCTTGTTTCTTGGGACCCAGAAACCTCGATAACCTTGGCTGGTCCTGGAAGGAACCCCCAAATTCCCACATCGAGCCCATGAGGCTGCGGTTTGCAGCATCTTCTTGTTGCCTTTTTTCCATGAGGACAGAAAAATCAGCACACTTTGGCCAAATACCCTGATCTTGTCAAATCTGCATTTCCTAACAGCAAAGAGTTCAGCTGGGAAATGTCCCATCACCTCTAATGATGAGGCCCTGCTCATTTTGGGACTTGCCGAGAGTCGCTGAGCATGGGGAAACAGCAGGTTGGAAATTACCTGAGCAGCAGGGTAATGAGTTAGCCACCTTTCGATGTGGACCGCGTACCAGCCGGGGGTCAGGCATCTCTTCTGCAGAGTCCTGATCTCCGAGGGCGCCCAATGGCTCGATGTAATGACTTCATAAAAATTGAATTTCAGGGCAGCGGGGTCCTCATGGGATCGCTGATGCTAACGGGAGATATTTAGACACGTATCACAAGGATGCTGAAGATGAAGCCTTAAGCCCCTCAAGAGCTGTCAGGGGGGCTGTACTGGCACAACCACACTGGCTGTACCCCCTCGGCTCCCCTCCAGCGACAGTTGTGCTGGGTAGGAGCAGCGGGGGCAAAGCAGCATGTTTTAGTTTTTGTAGAACTAATAATAACAGTATCAGAAATTATGTATTTTCTGCTTATTGCATGATTGTTAATTTGTGTCTGCTTTAACACTGCCTTTAGTATTTCCTTTATCTGTATGACTGAATCACATTTTCCATGCATGCTTAAATGTCTCTTTAAAAATATTATTATTTTTTTTAATTGAGTAGACTTGGTTATGAAAAGGTGTGGTCTCATTAAAAGGCAAGAAAGACCGTCCTATAGCTTCCTTGGAAAAACAGAAGGCTTTCTTTTGTTTCCAGGGAGAGAAAAAAAAAAGAATAACAACCCTGGACACAGCTCTTTTTAACTCCTTGGAAAGTTTTGAAGACGCTGTGGACATGTGTACAGCACTGCGCATGGCTCAGCTTACACGCTGGAGGATGGGATGAGGTACCAAATTCTCAACATCAAGAGCTCTGATTTTGTAGCTCAGCCACGCTCCTTTTCCCCTGTGTATCTCCTCGGGCGAGGAGCACTGCTTTTCCTCCGTGCAGTGTCAGCTGTAATTGAGATTAAACTGTTTGTTTACAGCTGGTGGCAGCTCTGTGCTGAGAAGTTTCATCATTTATGACATTGGTGTCACAGGTGCCAACTGCAAAAGCTGGCATTCAGCATCCTTCCACTTCTACCCGGTGCAAAAGCTCTGCAATAAATCCAGAAATTCCCACCGACGCTGGCCGTCAGCCCCTGGCATTGATCGCACTGTCTGCTTCTGGAAGGCAAGGTCCGTACCTGGTACCAGGAATAGGCTCGATCGGATGGGTCGATGAGGATGGTGATGATCTTGGCCTTGGGGATGAGGGAAGCAGCTCGTTTCGGGGCTTCCTCAGAATGGAAATAGTTGGCACTTTTCTCAAAGAGGAGGTCAGTGGTGATGTTGGAAGGAGTGGGGAAGAAATCCATGTACCTGGGAGGTGAAGAAACTTGTTAGAATTAACGGTGTCACAAAAGGGTTATATCCCTCTGTTTCCCTTTTTCATGGTAGGTGGAAAGGTGAATTTTCAGACATAATTCTCAGAAGCAAAATGGAATTTTTCGTCTCGCTCCAGAAATGGAGTATGGGGAGCATATCTTGGCTCTTGCATGGTGCTGGTAATAGCTAAATCCTCCATGAAGGCAGGTAATGGGGTTTTTCCTTTGATGGATGGTATTTTTGGCTAATAAGTTCAATGTCAAAGGGATATTTTTCACCAGTTTGGAGTGAGATCAGTTTTAGCTGCAGAAAAAAAAAAATGGGAAAAGCTTCAAAACGTCAACCGTTTAGTTTTAACATTGTTGAAATATTTCATTTTAGTACCGACAAATCTTTTCTTTTAGACATTTTCAGAATGCAGGATTTGAATTTTTGTCTTCGAATGGTCATTTCCATGTAAAATTGATTGGAAATAAAAGTCAGTAACACAGAAAGTCCAACTGAAAGGGCAAAGAATTCAAATGAAGCACAAAGTGAAATAGTTTTGGAGGCATTCTGGGGTCCCTTTAGTTGTGCTGAGCACTCAGGGAACTTACAGTTTTGGTGGGACTAACTGTATTTTCTGTCTTTTCTATGGCAATGAAGCATGTGGGGCCCCACCCTGAACACAGGAGCCTACTGACGTTTGAACCCAGAGGCCAACGTTGGTGAAGCGTGGCAGAAGAGAGGACAGCCTCTTCCTCTCCTTGTTGTGTGAAGGGCTGCAGAGGAGAGACCCCCCATTAGCGTTCCACATGCTCTACGACAGCCACGACTGATCTCTTTCTTCATGCGGTATGGAAAAACAAAGGCCAAGCATTTATTTCCCTTTATTTTTTGTGACCCCTTGGACAGAGAAGTCTGTTTTTATCAGTCAGGCTTGTTTGCTCCACACAGTCCCCACGATGTACGTGGGCAAGGAAAACCGCTCAAGATTAATCTGTTTCTGTGCAGTGTTTGTCTTGTATTTCAGTTTTCTCAATTGGATGAGAACTGCCCTTCCCTGTGGAAATGAAAGCCTTACAAAAATGCTTTTGTTAAGCAAAAATAGTGAAAGCAATGTTTAAAATTGTGATAGGAATTCCAGCTGAAATACTTTACAGTGGGATTTTTTTTTCCCCACGAAGACATGAATCAAATCTTCATGAAAAGCTGCTTTAGAAGAAAAAGAGTATAATTCAGCAGAGAGACAGTTCTGAAAAGACAGAGATACTGTTCAGACAGAAATCATAACTGAGCTGGCCATTGTATTCATTTGGGGAAAAAAAGAAGAAAATTGTTAGTGTAATATCTAAACAAAATTAAGGACTTGAGTAAACGTCCCATCATTACGAATTAGTTTCTCTTTCTGTCTGATAACGCCAAGCATAACAAATTCATCCAGTAATTACGTCCATGTCATACACGGTTCTGTAACTGTTCCATTGTGATTTACCAGGTATTAATAATGAACACTTACTTCTCTTTTGTAATTCTTACCAGTCAATTCCCTTGTGATAGTTGTTTCCGTTGAAGAATTGAACCTCCTCAAAAGTTTTTGGGCTAGGGAGATTACTGATAATGGAAGGATGCATCAGAAGAAATAAATAAAGCGCTGTTGTTCCTACGACAAGAAAAAGAGAGGCCATTAGGAAATGGAAGAAAACAACGCTTTGACTTCATTCATTCAGGCAAGTACTTTCAATCGAGGCATGCTGAGATATACAGGAAAATTAGATTACCTTTGACCAGAAAGTTGTGTACTTATGAAAGGCCCATGTGAGCAGGAGGGCCTTTCAGTGGGAGAGGGGAATATGTGCAAACTTCCCTGCTCGTCAAATTTTTCTCATTTCCAAACTCTGAATTCTGTTGTCTGATGCAAGCATGACATCGCCGTTCATGACATTGCTTGCTTGACTGTGTGTTTAACCCGAGAGGGAAACCGGGCTGAACTACCTCTGTTGTGCAAAACTTCTCAGAAGCACTAGTTGTGGGATGATGCTTTTTTTTTTCACTCCCAGAATTGCACTTGTGTCCTCTGGGTATTACTCCTGGGGGTCTGCCAGTGAGAAATGAATCGTCTATTTCGGTGCTAACAAACCTGTATGAAATGAATCTGCTTTAATATACCAGCAACTACTTTTTTGTTATTTGTCTGACAAAACTTACTGGAAGTGATGGCAGTAAATGAAATTTTGGAGAATGTGTCTTTAAACTTGCTCTGCAATGATATTGTGCTGCATGAGCTATCGTTGGACTATGAAGCAAGACCTGCTTCTCTGTCACTGTCATCTGTATGATCTTGGATTAGTAATTTACTTCCCTACCTCAGCATCCCCTTTCTGTAATATGTCCACAACAGCAATAGCTATCTCAGGAGTGGGAATATGTGGCTTAATTCAAATAATGCCATGAGATCCTCAGAGGCCTGCAAGGTGGTAAATGCATTTATTGTCAATTAGGGTCTCAAATGCTGTTGAAATACTTTGTCACAGAACTTAATAACGATCTTAACATAGGGCAGCCTGACAGCCTGGGTTTTTTTTAGGGTAAATAAATGCAATTTTACTATCCAGAGGTTGTTCTTGCCTGTTGGCAGTGAAGGAGCTGCTTTCAGTTTACAGGACACAAATACAAAGATACCCCTGAGGGGTGGACTAACTTTGGTTACAAATTCGTTACTTCTTACCTGTTTTCTGGGGTCCTATCACAAGAAATTTGGGTAGGTGGTCACAAGTTTTGTCTCTGGACCAAATGTCCCTGTGCCGTTTATCATCACACGGATTCTGAAGAAGAAAAGACAGTCTCGTAGGTCATGGTAGGGGCATCCTAAATGACTGCAGGCACGTGAGCCTGTGCAGGATCTAAATGTTACACATTAAGGCCAGAGCCTTACGCTACATAGTAAAATTCCACATTTTCTGCTAAGAATTTGCTCTTGACAGCTCTGGTACAGATCCATGGAAGCATTCGGGTACATGAGGACCAAACTCCTGGGTATCCTTCAGGACCAACCCTTACAGGGGTCCCGGAGAAGTCAGTAACACTACAGAGCCGTGCAAATCCTGGAGGCATTGGTGTCAAAATCCACACCCTGTGGATTCCCTTTTCTACTGGATTCCCTTTCCTCCACTAGCCGGGCTCATTTCATAAACTCAGAGTCTAGAGGAACCTATGTGGTGCCTTTGACTAAAATTCAATGCGTATATAATGGTTTGGCATGACTGAGGATTAAGTTCGGTCATTAGAAGAAAGGAAAAGGAAAAGAAGGAAAAGAAGATTAAAACATTGATTTAATAAGGTTTTCATTTGAGGTTAAAATGAAAACCTCTGTTAGAATAGCTTTAAGGCATTACTTTCTTAGATGACAAAATGGTTTCAGATGCGTGAGACTTAATGCCAATTTTAATTTACATAAGAACCCAAAAGGAAGCACGAAATAGAAATGTAGGATATTATTCATCTCCTTAGCTTTCTACTTCTGATGAATGCAAAATAAAAATGTGTGAACAAAAGAGCCACAGAAAAGGTTAGGACCGACTGCTCTTTAAAGCAGTTATCATACAGACACTGCTTGCTTACTATTGGCTGGTAATAGAAGACACAGTTTGCTAGTGAATAAAGTTAACGAAATCTAATGGAGAAAATCATTAACTGATGTGAATTGCTGAAGCTCCGCTGGACTCCATGGAAATAGTATAGATTTATACTTCTCTTGCATCTAGGCCAAAAATAATAGGGAAATTTTCTGCTGCTTTTTGCTAGCGTAAGCCCGAAATAACTGCACAGATCTCCACGGTGTCGCTCTGGATTTATGGCTGCATAGCTAAAAGCACAGCGTGGCACATCATATCCTGAGTGAGAGAAGAGCCAGATATGTGTGACGATGATTAGGAAATTACAGCGTTGAGATTACAAGCAGCACTATTGTGCATTTGCAGCGGGGATAGAAAACAGCCGCTCTGTACAGAAACCCTTCTCCACTCTTAAAATAGCCGCCCATCCCGCATTCCCCATGCCGACCCCTCCTGCCCTCCCCTTGCCTTGCTGTCTCATTGAAGGGGGTTCAGCTGGTGGGAAATCCTCCTCGGAGCTGCAGAGATCCAACATCAGTGATCCAAAGGATCCAAAGACAGTTCAACACAATTAGTTAACGCGATGCATCAGCAAATTCCAGACAGCAGGGAAGGGAAGCATTCCCTCTCATAAATGGCCATTAGGTGAATGCCTGATTAGGGGGGAATAGAAGCTAAACCACTTCCAGTCAAAAGCAACGGTCCCTCAGAAAAGGAAAGCGTGCAGGAAGAAATAACATATCTGAATGTGGAGTGGGATTTCTTTTTTAAATTTTTTTTTACGGGAACATGCGGATTGTGATTGGAGGAGGAGGATGTGTCCTTACCTGCCAAAGAGGGTCCGTCTGCTCTGGAAAGAGCTCAAAGTACTTCTGAGCCAGCTGAACTGGGGGCAGCGTCTGCAGTTTTAGGTTAGTCGAGCTCTTGACGAAGTTGGCCAGGTTCGCAAAGGTGTATAAGCCCAGGCGGTCATTCCCGTAATTAGACAAATGGGTCATGAAGATGCTGATCTGGGAAGCAAGAGAAATGCAAGTCACAGGACATCAGGAGGTGGCAACCTTTGGCTGGAAGGGCAGGCATCATGCTGGTTTTGACAAACAACATAAAATTCTTGCATGTCTCCTATTTACTCCTCTGCTTCTCCTCCCTGGGCGGGCGCCAGGGAGGTGGTGGTGTACGCGATCCCTCGAGTTGGAGTCCCCAGCACCCTGGTCCCACTGAGGGTTCAAGCTCTCTGCTCCTTGCACATGTGCAGACAAAGCTTAATTTCAGGGCTGCTATTTATGGAATGAACATGGAAATCTGGCTAATACTCTGTCTCCTCCAAACAGAGGGTTGGCTAGCTTGTGAAAAATGGGATGGCTGCAAGTAGGTGAACAAGTTCTGAGATGTAAAAATTCCAAGCCTTGGTGAACGATGATTTCTCAGCTAGATGTCACCGTCACGGTGCTCTCCTCAAAGCCAATATAATTTCTGCCTTTTTATCAGCCTTGCGATGGCCCGCCTTTACGCGGCCACTGCCTTGTAGATCTCATAATTTCTTTCAGAAAGATAAAGAGAATTTGTAAGAATAATGTGAAGAATATATTTCCCAGTAGTTTCTTTATATGAGGTGATCAAACTCAGTTTTGCAGCTGCAAAGGCCTGACTTATCTGTAGATCGTGATTATTTAGTTTTATGAAGATGCTATCAAACCGAGAGGTCCTACTTGACTGTTTTATTCACAACATTGGACCAAGATAGCACGTGCGACAGTGGAATTTACTGATGCTGTTAGCAAGAAATAAAATACCAGTGGTAACTGAACAGTGTATTTTTTTTTTCTTTTTCCACATCATCTCTGAAGATGACTCCAGAAAATGCTGGTGGGGAATTGCGTGGTTTGCTCTCCTGCCATAACACAGGAAATGTCTGGAAAATGAAAATAAAGGTGTGCAGGTGCTGGGGGGGGTGTAATTGATGCATATTTTGGTATGTGAAGCGCCTAACTCTGACGAGGTTAGGCATTGGGAGGGAGGATCTCTGATTACCAGGTGAATCGGTTGCTTTGCAGGTGGGTAACTATGTCCAGGTGAGTCTCGTTTGGGATGGTGAGAAACAGGAAGGGAGGGCACAGCCCCTGTGAGCTTATAAAGAGATGTGCAGGCACCACGGAGGGTGCTGCTGGAGCAGAGGTGTTCTGGAGAGTGTTTTCTTTTGAGATCTTCCGCAGGATCTCTGGGAAAAGAAGCACACGCAGGTCAGTAAATTGTATTTTTTTTTCACCTGGATGTCGAGGGAAACTGAGTATAGGTTGAGTGTGTCCAACCCGGGCACAGGGGATGATGTTTGGGCCGCAGTCCGCCAAAGCTTAAGGTTAGATATGATGGAGATACCAAGGTGTGTGTTCCCTTTCCTGGGGGAAGGCTACGGTTAGGAAACTAGGTGGGTTGTTGTTGCACTCCAGTCTGTTAGAGCCTTGGAAATACGTGTCTCAGCTGTGTGGCAACCAGGCCCACCAGCAGCTAAGCTGGTGGGAAATGTGAATCTCAAAACTCATGGCTTTCCTGTCCAAAATGGTGGCAAAATGCTTAGATGTGTCCCAAGAAGTTTGTATCCCTGTTTCACAGGGTTAGGTCCTGCTGTCTGTGCAGAGCTTCCCAAAACAAACTAGGGCCACCCCCTGAAGAGCAAGTCTGCTGCTTTGCGCTCCCAGGCTGGAGTTCCAGCAGCTGACCAAAATTCTGTGTCCCTAGTGCCCCATGCTGTCCTGACTTTCAGATTAACCACAGCATAAAAAGCCATGAGTTTTGCACTTTCACTGCCTTCTTCTGCCAACGCAGTGCTTCTTTAAGCACCCAACAATGTTTAAAAACCCGTCCATTAGTTTGTTACATTATTGATAAGGCTTTTAGTACCTCTGTAAGGTGAAGACGGATGGAGCTTAGGAGGAAGTGTCCCTTATGGCCTATCTGCAGTATGTCTGCACTGTACCCACTTCATTCTGCAGAAGGTAATTTATTTTTCACTTTTATTCAGTTCTGAGACTCTGTTGAACAAAAATTGGCAATGTGCAGGATGTTTTTTCTGTTGGCTCAACTTGGAGTGCTGGTGCCTATGCATTTTATGACTGATAGTGTTTGACATAACTGGAGTGAAAATGAAAATTGCTCTCAACTTTTAAGCAAGGTAACAAATCTCTGAGTTTCTGGTCTACTGACCTTGTCCCTCCTGCCCGATGACCCTCCAAGTAACCCAACAGAAACATATCCTTTCTAGTTTAGAGTTTAACTCCTCAAAATGTGACAAGTGCTTCATGTAAACTCTTTTAAAATTGTGGAAAGGAAAACCCTTATAAGAAACATTGAAAGAGATTATCATCTTGCCTCCAAAGTGTTTTTTGATAAGTGTGAAAGGGCCTGTCAATGACATTTAATATTATTGCAGCAGTTTACTATTATCGCAGCACATAAAGTATGCAAGTAAATCTACTTGCTCTTTTTATTTTTTACACTGGAATTTGGATGATACCTTTGTAATGTGCAGAGGTACTTAGAGGAGAGGTACATGAGACATAGATATATTAGGATAAAAGAGTAAGAGCCTTGTTTTCATCCTTTCTAGGGCAACAAGTAAGCTGCAGGGCACAGAGTGGCACTAAGGAGCAGGCAGCACTTCATCAAGGCGTGCAGCTCGGTGCAGAGCATCACAAAGGCAATAAATTGTTTCGAATTCCTGAGGCTGGGGAAAGGGCTCTGGCTGCACTGCATTACTCTTCAGGTTAAAGCTACGTGTGCTATAGAAACCTGCGGCGAGGTTCTGGGTGAAATCCGTCCCTGTTAGCACGCAGTTTCTAGACAAAGTGATATGTGAAACAAGGTTGGTTGTTACTTTGGTGCTGGTTGTGTCCCCTCGAGAATGCCAGAAAAATTTTAAATTATATTTTGAACCCCTCATTTGATTGTAAGAACCATCTACAGGCTTTTAGCTGTGGCTTTCAAAGACTTGCACAAAGAAAGGAATTGAGGTTTATGTTTGGCTGGTGATAAAACTGAGGCACGTGGGGATGGTGTGATTTGCAAAGAATTCGGTTCCTGCAGGGAGCTTGATGCTGGACTAGTCTACCCCTCCCTAGGGCAGTCCATGCAGCACGTACATGAGTATCTTATATAATATATATATATTAAATGAAGGGAGAGCTGTGGCCCACAGACTACAGAAATTCTGATTTTACTACTGTAATAGGTTTTTGCTTCTCTTTGCTTCTGGTGCATGCCCTGTATTAATGTCTCAGAGGTTTTCACCATGGCTTGCAATTCTTCTGTTCAGAAGAAAGCTGTGGGAGGAGACCAGTGGTCCTAAATTTGTCAGACCACCTGTACAGTTATTAGGCCGTTGTGGTTGATAAATTGTGTTATTTCTGTTAAGCTGGGTGGGCAGGGGTAATGAAAGTGTGTCTTACAGTTCTGACACCTGACAGAATCCAACACAAGTCATGTCCTGCATCTGATATTTACCAGCTCCCTTACTCCTGAACCATAATATTTGGCTAAGTGATGTACTAACAGACCTGACCTTGTCACGCTTATGATCTAATATTGTTTGTAAACTAGCAGAGGCACCACAGTACTACTTTACCATCTGGTTGTTGTTTGCAGAGCTATTTAAAATGGGTTATATTCAGAAATAATGGCTGCACGGTATATTCTCTATATGTCCAGTTTGTATATACATGTTAGATTAGCTAGTCAAGAAAAATAACAGATTTGTTTCAAAAGTATTGGAATACAAACCGTGCTAGGCCTGCTGCAAGTGCCCCAAAACTGCACTTTGTACTCAGACTAAGTGCTGTTTCTCCAGATGCGCAGATTTATGTACCTGTTAATGCAGAACACGGAGGTTTAGTTCCTCCTTAAGTGCTGAACTCACTACAGTTGTAACCGAAAACACCTGGGTTTGGACAAAGGTTGCTACTTGTCTCTGGAGGGTGCTATAGGGTGCTGGGCTACTCTAAGACTGGAAATCTTATCTGTAGTCTTTTTTCAGGAGGATCATCCCAGGGAACTGCAAAGTGCTGTAGATTCTCAAGTACGGACATAGTTGTAAAGACAAGTTTGTGGAAAATATTGAACTCTAGTGGGACTTTGAGACAGGCCCAATGATCCACATCATGCCAGCAGTAGCCACGTAGCTGTGAAGATCCTTTAGCCACTTAGCTGTGCTCTCAGAGGCTGAAATTCCTCACTAGATGTGACTGCAAACATCCTGAAGGTGAAAGGGTAAAGTGACTTCCAAACCCAGGACATTTTAGCTTTTAAAACTCTCTCCTTCTTGTGTGAGCATTTGTTTACTGCAGGATTTAGTTGATGCTGTACATGGGCCTTTGAGCGCGGCAGCGTTTGATGTTGCACTTCAAAGCTGTGCCTTTGGAGGGCTGAGGCTAAGTCCCACCCTCAGCTGGTGTGAATCCCTTCAGCCTGAGCAAAATCTGCTGTTCTGTTGATTTGTGCAGAAGCTGAGGTTAAATAAGGCGGCTTTCTCTGCCTTCCCCAGCAGCCCGTGCTCCATAGCCACCAAGATCTTTGCTGCCTCTTGTAGTGAATCCAAACAACTAGGTCCTTTGCCTGCTTATATTTTGGCTCTGCCCCTTTGCTGGAAAGCACAGGAACAGAGATAGGTCTCACATAAGTATCCTGCTCTTCTAAGAGGAACTTGTTCATGGTCTTTAACAACTTTTTCCTTGCTGATGCACCTCTTAAATAAAATTTGCTAGAAGGGAGGAGTTAATGCATGCAAAATCAGCCAGGGGTACAGCTCAACCTCATGCAAAACAAAGACGTATTGGGAAATATGTGATGTAGGCATCCTGTTCTTGGAGAAATGTGGTAGCGTATTTACTGCTCTTCTCTGCTCCTCTCTTGCGTGAATGTTTCCCAGAAAAATGAATTTTGCTATTCCATCTTTTGCCATTGTGCTCAGAAAATGCTGTGTGAGGCCTCCAAGAGCAAACTCTTATAATTGGATCTAGAT